GCAAAATGTTACCAGGTATACTAGAATAATATTTAATTGTAGGGCAAAGTATTAAAAAAAAACAGGAAAAAGTTAGTGTTTGGAACCTGCCTGATATTTTTCTGTATATTAGGAAAATATACTTTTCCCTACTTAATCTAATACACTCCAATACACCATGGAGTCTGTTCTGTGAACTCAGAATGCAGAGTCAGAATGACACTATTCGCTCCTCAGAGGACAGGTCTCACTGTGTAAAGATATCTACAACTTTGGTTTGTTTGGTTATTTTTGTACTTTCCTCCCAGTTTTGTGCGAGTTTTTAAATTGACATATTTTGTATCCTGTTTCTTGGTAAAATGGAAGATTTAAGGGCTCTTTCTTTCTATATAAGAAGAAGTCAAAAAATTAACCTGGGCAATTCATTTTTTAGGAAAATGAAAACATTCATTTAAGCGAAGATCAATTTTTTTGCTTTGGGTCCCCTATAGTGGGTACAGAGATGCTTACATATTGTGCGTCTGACTGACCAAAAATAGATGGCTATTACCTGATGGGACCAAAGAGAAAATGTTATGAATATAATAGATTCATAGCTGGTAGGGGCAGAAGGGACCTCAACAGATCATCAAGTCCCACCCCCTTGCCTGGGCAGCAAAGAGTGCTGGAGTCAGATGATCCCAGCCAGATGCTTAGCCAGCCTTCTCTTAAAGGACCCCAAGGTAGGGGAGAGCACTGTAATTAGCACCATAATGTTGCTAATTAATTTCTAGTGATTAGAACAAAAGCTTAAGTTTTCTATGACCTCTGGAAAATCTCTTTTGTTAAAAGTTACTGCTTGCATCCAAGTCCAAGCTGTGTTAACTAACACTACCTGGGCCTAATTTCATTCGAGTGGAACAAAACTACAATCTGTTCAAATCCAATATCTTAAACTAGACTTTCATGTTCAATTTTAGTTGGTCAACCAGTAACCAGCTACCAGTAAGGAGATTTTCCATCCATTTCTTTTGGGCAGAAAATGAATGGAAATATGCCTTGAAGCTAGAGTCTGCATTTCTATTTTTCCTATAGGCTCCAGGTATTTGGTAGCTGAAATGCGGATAGCATACTTTTCACCAGAAGACAAGTTTAATAATGACACAGAACAATCTGGAAAGCATTAAATGAACAAAGTTATAACTAACTAGCTTTAAATGTAGTGTTAAATGTGTAAGGTGGCTAATAGTCATGAGGTTACACGGACTGGCATATTGTATCTTTCATGGCCAAAAACAATCCCCCAAATCACCCAGATGTCTCAAAGAATTCAGTTTAAAAGGTAGGGGATAGGGCCCTTCTGTTGTGAGAAAGTTGTATGAGTACAGTCACAAAAGAATCAGCATAGACATTAAGGGCACTTCCCCACAAGTGGGAATGGCATATTTGTGCTGCTGCTACTGCCCCTGGACAAACCCCTACAGATGTGGTCTGGCAGCCAGCAATTTGCCCCAGGTGGGGTAGGGGAGGCGAGGGCTAGCCCCTGGGCTGGCCCCAGCAGCCTTACCTGGGGTCCTGGGGGCCTCCTGGGGCTGCAATGATGGTGATCTGGGTGCGTGGAGCCTTGCTGGCAGCCGGAGCATGGCTCTGGTTGGCCAGGCTCTGGTTTCAGACACTGCACGTTGGAGCCATGTACACCACCCTGCTTTTTTCTGTTGCGGGTCTTTTAGATACTGGGATTTCCCAGTATTTAATTTTGCCACCATACTGCAAATACGCAGGATGGCAAACAGAATCATGAGTGTTTTGTGGCACCTCAAAAGGCTCCGAGATGCTGCAAATCGCATGTTCCCGCTCATGGGGATGCAGACTAACTAGCTACTGCTACAACTCAATAATCCTATCCCTCTGGGATATTAAGTATCTTACTCTACTATTAAGGAAATAGAAACCAATGTTATGGCACACTTTCTGAACCAATTTAACAATCTTTACCTTTGCCAGGTATAGGCAGATGGAAGTTCCAGCATGCCAGTACAATGAAATTTGCTTTACAAACTGAGGGAAGCTAAGAGCCCCAGTGTAGAACCAATTCCAATTTAAGGCCAAACACAGAATTCCAAGTCTCCACAAGTCCAGGGCCTCTTTGGATTCAGGCCATAAAGGATTACTTTAATTATGCAAAATTGCTACAGTCTTCAGGGGCCATCCTCTAGCAGAGATTTCCAAATAGCCCTGCTGGAGTCTTTCCCATATTAGGGAAATCTCTAGATGGTCAATAAAGGCAGCTTTCTGCTCTTGAGTACTATAAATGGAGCTGATGGTTGTGGTGGTGGAGGGGGAAGGCAGGGTCAGGATCTGGCCAGGAATTTCTTAAAGCAACATCTACACTACACAGTGTTGTAGGAAATGTATTGACTTGTTCACAGAAAGAACAGTCAAGTTGGCTAATTTGTAAAGCAACGGGCCTAAAATACTCTGTTTCGTGTTTTTAAACAACTTCACAATCAGACGGTTTTGGATAGACAAATCTTGTCATGAAACAGATTTCAAATAAGTTTTTGGAGATAAAGACATCACTATGTAGCACCATCTGAAAGTATTACTTTCCTTTTCTTGAAGTCCTTCTAATTACACTAAATCACTGATTAATGTTGGCATCAGGCAGTAATATCCACGTGGGCTTAGAAGACTTTTTCTTTAGAAGGCTGGTTGTACAGAGTCTCTAAGCAATTCATAGACTGAAGGAAGTACTGCAGAGTCTCTAAGCAATTCATAGACATAGAAAGTATTGCAAAGTCAAACCTTTTTTTCTGCTGGATTATGTCCCCAGTACCATAAAAGTTGTTTAATTTTATTAACACTTACGATAAAGAACATGTCACCGAAGTCTGAGATGCAGACTTCTTTTGCTTACTGGAGAGGAAGTTTCTAAGGACAGAAGTTCTTCATTGTTTGATTCCATTAGCTCTGCTCATGCTTGTGCTGGAAAACCAGGCAGATCGGGAGCGAGCCTTTTATGACTCCCTATGTTAGGGCTAGATAGTAGGTAAGATAGTAGGTGGTCCAGTAAGTAGCTACTTGTTAGTAAATTTTAAACAACGTTTGCACACTACAAATATGATAAAATCCAGGACTTGATTACAAGATGTTTGTTTTGGAAAGTACTCATAACATGATTCTAATTAATAGTGTGATGGATCCTGTAATTGGTAAAGCCCTGGGACGAGGTTCTGCCTGCACTACTGATGGGAACTCTCAGATATCTTTCTGTGAGCTGCTTCATAGAACAGCCAGGCTGAATTGGCTGCATTAGAAGTGTTGAGGATCCCAAAGTATATCCATGTGACACGATGCAGTGCTGTGCTGATATTCCTGAGCTACTGTCAGGTAGTTTGAGTATCAGATGCAGGGTAGATGTACAGAGGCCCACTTGGGCCATTAGTGTCTGCTTCTTAGCAGGACTAAATAGTCCAGCACAAGTGTTATGCCAACATGGCTCTACTGCTTCTGGTACCAATGCAAGTCTGTTCAGAGCTGGCTCAGTTATCTCTATATGGCATGGCATGTTGCCATAAAGATGTACCTATTGAGATGCCTTGTCGCTCCGTAAGGACTTTATCAGAATGGAAAGCAGAATCCTCTTGGTCTGTAGAGAATGCCGGGCAGTAAAACAACCTCTGCACTTTATGGTTTTTCTCTCAATAAGTTTTACAGTGAGAACAAACCTGCATCATATACAATAGTCCCAGGCAACCGAAACAGTCTGAAGGTCAATCACAGTTTTTAGGATAAACCTTTTAAGAGCATGTTATAATACAAAAACTGAAAGTTGGCATTATGCAATAAAACAGGTACCCGAATTTTTAAGAGAAATCACACTGAGGAACATCATACTTGGGACACCTATGACCAGGCACATTGTGATGTCACAAACCAGGATGAGAATATGTTCAACTTCTCTCACATGCATTAAGAAGAAATGTAAACCAGTTGTGCTAAAGGACATAAGAAAAGGAAACAGAAACCGTTGGACCCTGAAATGAACAGATGGCTGAGTTTGGTTTCTTGGCACTGGCCTGATTCAGAAACTGGCCAAATTGTGCTTGTGTTACTGGTTTAGCAAAGCCCCAAGAACACATTATAAGCCCGGGCTTCCAAAAAACTTAGGCAGGCTGAAAAAAGGTTTCTTAGAATCTAACACTCAATTAATTCTTTTTAAAACTATTTGAAGAAAACTGTGATGAAATGAAGGACCCAAAGGCATTCAGTTGTTGAACACATAAAAGGAAGTATATTTAAAATAAAAAAAACTGGTCAGACTATAGAGTCAGTTACCATTTTTAAGGAATTTACAGGGCTGTTGTAGATGAGTCTTTTGGAATAGTCAGTTTATCGCAATGCCTAAACTGGTTTCTTCATTGCACAGTATTTTCTCTTAAAATGTGTGCATTTTTTAAACAATTACATACATATTAAAAATTGAAATTTCTTTGTTTAAACTTAATTAAAACGTTAATACTCTCAGACAACACAGATCTGAAATGGTGAAACCAGTAATTTCCCCCTCCCACCTTACAACAAATTAAATTGAGACAAAATTACAAACACATTTCACTACATGATTATTATTAATAAAAATCAGTTTTCTTTTTTATAAAGTCGCCCAAAATGCAAGGGATGTGCATAGGTTTACAACTTAGTCAGAATAATAGTTTATTTTATCCCCTTGGGTATGTTTTCCCATGAGCGGAATGTACTTTGCTGTAGATTACAGGTTTTTTTTCAACACAGATACACCAACGGCATGAACGCTTGCGACTGCCCACATGCATTAAGAGTCAAGACCCAGTTTCAAATCTCTAAAAGGTTTACAGAGTTCTTCAAAGAGACAGTATCACAGGATCTGGGTGTTAAACAAAAAGTACTCAAAAATACTATCCAAAAAAAAAAAAAAAAAAAAAAAAAAAAAAAAAAAAAAAGAAAAAAAAGAGCAAAAAGCAAAGAAAGGCCTTTAAAATTTGATTTTTTTCAAATTATTGAAATTATTGACTAATTATTTAAAATAAATAAAGGAAGGCAAGGTATTCCAATTCAGAAAATCAGACTCTAAAAAAATGTAGTGTTCCACCCCCACGTTAAGGTAACAGAATCATTTCATTATTATTATTAAAATAGATTATAGAAAGCAGCATCTATTTTGTGCAGTTTTTAGGGGCCTTTGAAATAAAAAGCTATGATTTCCAAAAATATAACATTTCAAAGGATTGAATAATACATATATTTAAAGATACATTTTATTAAAGTTTAGGAGAACTGATTAAAAAAAGATACTGTCTCTTTAAATTAGTGTTTAATTTTTTTTCTCCTATCTATTAGGACATGACAATAATTATAAATTTAGGTCACACTACATCTAGGTAGTCTCTAGGGGCCAAGACCTGTTGACACAAGGTCAGTAACGAAGAGTTTTTTTTCCATGTATGAGGTGGTTCCCAGTAATGATAAAATTCTTTAGTTATCTGGCAAAAGGCCTAATAGACCCAGGAGACTGGAACCCACTGTGATGCTGTACAAACAAGCTCAATGGCTTCCTCCAGATGCCTGATTGTTTCATCAATTTCATTGTTGATAATTGTTAGATCAAAGTAGTGTGCATATGTTCTCTGTAAGATTTCAGATTCCTTTTGCAGGCGCTGAAGAGATTCATCCTGTATAATCAGAAAAGAAAATGAGATATAAATCAGATCTCAGCCTAAAGAGTCATGAATGCTTTGTACACCTTGCATAAGGTCAAATTTCCAATAAGCTATGGGGAAGAAATTGTAACTTACACAAAATCACAATCACGCAAAACAAGGATTAATCAAGACACAACAGGATGTTTATCTAATGTGCTAGAAGGGTTAAACAGATGGAGAAAGACAATGAAGTTTTAAAGAAAAAGGAGTAAGATGCAGAACAGACACAGAAAGAAATCCAACTTGTGAATGAAAACATACTAAGTATGCAAATACAAACTGTTTGGACTACATCCAGATAGTGTGAAAGAACAACAGGCTACATTGTCAAGTATCAGCTGTCCTCAGATAGTTTCTATAACATCCAGCACTCAGCATCAGTCTTCAAATTTTACTTCCTTCTCTAAAAAAAATATTCACTGTTGGCATTTTAAGGAAGTTCTTACTAGGCATTACAGTCCAATTTCTCTTTTGGTACATCCTTCATCTAGTATTTCACAGTGTCTCTGATGTGTCACATGGTTATGTTCTAATTCTAAACTCTAATTATGCAATCCAAGGCCAGGAAGGATAGTTATTCCACAAATTCACCAACCTCCAAAGTCTTCTAGGGGAGTATGGCTTAATTTAAGACCAATCTATTATACAAGGCATGTAGAATTATTATAGTGTGTGGGTGGCCAAGCCCTCCAAGACTAGCTCTGTTTACTCACTGGTCTTCCTTGGCTAGAGCCTGGTTGCCATGTGAATAGGGCTGCTGGTACGGGTATGTGAAGCGGGCCCTATTCAATTTGGATTCGGCCCAAATCAGGGACAGTGATTCAATTCGGCTGAATCTGAAGATTCGATGCTGATTCGGAGAATTAGCAATTCGGACATAGACACAGCTTTAAATGTGTGTGTGGGTTTTTTTTTTTTTTTTGTTTTTTTGTTTTTTTTTGTTTGTTTTTTTTTGTTTTACATATCTTGAGGTACCAGTGTGGCTTGTGAATGCTGCGATGCTGCGGCACATGGAACATCCCACAGGAGTCCAAGGGGCCCTCCACGTGCTTGGCAATGAACCCAGATGTAGACTGGAAGTACTTCCAGTCCACTTCCGGGTCCGCTGGGGAGTGCACTGGGGGGCCCCCCGGTACCCCACCAGCAGAGCGATGTGCCGTGGGGTGACCCCGGGCACCCCTCCCAAACCCAGGAGGCACCAGTCACCAAGCTGGGTGCTTCTGGTCCACTTCTGGGTCTGCTGCCAAGAGCGCCGGGGATCCCCCACACTCCTGTGGGATACTCCATGTGCCCCAGCATCGCAGCATTCACAAGCCGCCTGCTACCCAGAGGTATGTAGAAAAAACATTTAAAGCTGTGTTTGTCTGAATCACTGAATCTTTCCGAATCTCTCTGAAACGATTTATAGGCCAGTTAGTCTTACCTACTATAGGCCAGTTAGTCTTACCTTGATCCTGGGTAAGCTTTTTGAGAGAATTATTTTGGCACATAAAGGGGCCAGCAGGGGAGATTATGCTTAGGGGCCAACCAACATGGGTTCATTAGAGGCAGGTCCTGTCAGACCAACCTGGTGGCCTTCTAAGACCAGGTCACCAAATCCTTAGATGCAGCGGTAGCAGTGGACATAGTCTTCCTGGACTTTTGGAAGGCCTTTCACACTGTCACCCCATTCTCATTAAGAAACTGGGGGACTGTGGTGTCGACACCCACACAGTCAATTGGGTCGCCAACTGGCTGGAGAGTTGGCGACCCAGAGAGTGGTGGTGGATGGGTCGTTTTTGACCTGGAGGGATGTGGGCAGTGAGGTCCCCAAGGGCTCAGTCCTCGAGCCCGCACTGTTCAACATCTTCATCAGTGACTTGGACGAGGGGGTAAAAAACACCCTGTTCAAATTTGCTGATGACACTAAGATGTGGGGGGAAGTAGGCACGCTAGAAGGAAGGAAT